CATTCATCTCATATTAACTTAGCACGAAACTTGACGGATCACATCTTACCGGTCTTTTCTTCGGGATGTGATCCGTCGAAGTAATAATATAAGTCGTCGTTGAATAAAGAAAATATATCTGAAAGTATAGCAACATTTAAAAATATGCTGAGAGGTTACATAGGCTTATTATAATGTATTTTGTTTACTTTTTTATACTTTTAAATTTTTAGGTTTAGATTATCATAGCCCTAGCGAAGTTCTTGGGTCCAAGAAATAGCAAGATCTTGGGGCAAGAATGTCCTAAGATCTTGCCATTTCTTGTGCAAGAAATAATCTTTTTACCATCTTGCTCAAGAAATGTATTTCTTGCCTTGCTGAGAAGAAAAAAGCAAAAACAGGAAATGCCAGGATCAAGATTCGAAATCGCAATGCAGTGAGACAATCTAGCTTGTAATATTCAGAGTTCTACGTCTTATACCACTCTGCGATTCTACTTCGGTATCTTCTTCGCTTTCACCAGTCTGGATATGAGGCAAAATTTGAAACTTATCGAAAAATAAATAATTAGGATATATCTCATCAAGCAAGCATCCCCGAGAGAGTTATGGCTGGAACAAAAAATATTCAGATTAGATTCTGCGTCGAATAGAACTCATAGAACTCTGCAAAAAATCATAGTTAGCGAGGAAAAGTAATTACTCTTTTTCTCAGCAGTGAGACATGGGACATCGTAGACTTTCGAGCACACAATAAAAAAGGCACAGAATCAAACTCTAAACAAAGCAGAACACCACCGTTTATCCTATAGTTTCCTGGAAAAGGCGTTAATTAGCGAGAAAAACGCTAATTTTGATAATTAGCTTTTTTACCCAGAAGGAAGCATTTGGCCAATTTGATGTCGCAACCAAAAATGTCAGAAATTAAATTTTGCACATTTCATTTGCTGGCATCAACTTTGTACGATATTTTCGCTACAAGAAATAACTTGAACTTTACCGTTGCAGTATAGACAAGTACCGTTAAATAATTTTAAGCTTTCACTAGGGAGGGTATCCACGAATGCCACAAGTATTTTGTTCGTTTTTGTGATATCCTGCACTTGAGTAAATAAAATTTTATCAGATTATCACTCCTGTGGTACCAAAAAGTATCAAATCACTTGAAACTTTTAGAATATGTTGTATTTTAGATTCTTGAGATGATAAAGTTGCTAAAACTCAGAAAAATTCGCTCCAAATTTGATGGATATTTCTATGGGTCGCTGGAAAATTATTTTATTAGCCAAAAGTGCTTTATGAAATTTCCTACCATCGATACCTGAAAGACATGACTCTACTGCTGTTCTGGAAATCCCAAGTGATTCGGTGTGATATTAACAGAATTATGAACTTTTCATTCCACTACATCGCTAGCATAAAATGTCGTCCTTTCTTGAAAGCGACTATTCTTTCACTTTTCTTTTAAAACAAACACTCCAACAAGGTTCAGGGGGGTCAATACCTCATGTACCGATCCATTTTGACATTACCTAAAAGCAACAGGACCCGATAGGAAATCTTTTTCCCTTCTGTATCATGAGAGATAAAAGGACTCGGATTATTTCTGAGGATATTGGCTTTCTAGATGATGTCTCGAGCACTAACAGACTAATAAATCCTGTTATTTTGAAAATGAGTAGGATGCAGTCACACAACTGTTTAGTTTTGTGCGGCTGTAGTCTGCAGATTAGCAGTTTTAGTTTACTTGACAACTAACTACGTAAAAATTACGACACTGCTCACCATCAGTTCCATAAGTGAGATGCTTTTGTTTGATCGGGATATAACCATCAATATTTACATTGCAATCTGCTGACCTGTTGGGCGAAACAGTGATTCTAAAAGTATATGTGACGGTTGAAGTTCTTTGACATGAATAATAGGGAAACCATCACCGATTCTGCTATCTTTCACTTGAAAATAGAAGCCGGGCAGTAATCTTTATCTGCAAACTGTGAATATGGTGTGATTACCCTACCATTTTCACATTCAATACAAAACAATGGTCGAGAACCAGATCTACCAAGAAAAGCATCAGCCACTGTAATTGACTCAGTACAGCTGCTGAAATCCCACCATGGATATGTATAATATCATTTATACAATGTACTTAAATCCAAGCTGGTTCCACGCCAGACTGTCTTTTTAACTGGCAGTAGTTTGCATAATGCCGTTAAAAGTAGTTTTAAATAAGGAAGCCAAGGGGTCAGAGATTTTGCCAAGGGGGAAACAGCTGAATTTAGTTCGTTAAATTCAAGTAAATTCAAAAACGTATCAAATTCAGCTGTTTCCCCCTTGGATTTTGCTCTGACTCTCGAACGTAATATTTTATGAAGGTGTTCAAAAACAGTATCCATTGTACACAAACGAATAGCAGCAGATTCATGTTGTGTTAAATTATCGTGAAGATGTTGACAGTTTGCTTTCGCTGTCCAAGTACTTTCTGCTAATTTGTCAGTCGTAGCTGTTAGGGGTTCAACAGCCATTTCTGGTGACATTAACGGTAAACTTCCATAACCTTCTTCATCTGACATATTTAAAACATCCGTACTGCCACTGCAAGGATTAAATGGTTACAATATTGCACTAATGCGACGCCGTTTGTTTCGAACGTTCATAATGGTTCTACCCTTATTGGCGTCAAATGTGTCAGTGGTTCATCCCCAATATCAGCGTAACGTAATCTTGAGCCACGGTTGGTTGAGAGGTGGTAGTAATCATAACGATAATAATACTTTCTTTAAAACTCACATAAATAGATAAAATGCATCTTTCATTTAAGAGTTTCCAAAATAACTATATGCAAATTTGTACATCAAAATATGCTATTAAAATGAGGTTCAAGTTCTGAAAAACAAAAACAAAAACAAAATTAAGCAAGTAACACTGAAGATAAAGTATATATCATGTACGACTACAAACTCGAAGCAAATGACTGAATTCTTTGAGAACTATGGATAGTTTATTTTGGCAAATATCAGTGGTGATAATCTTTAAATCTGAATAAATACAGGATTGGCAAAAACGTTTTTCCAGGGGGATAGAGCTCAAACTAGAAATGATATAAAAACGAATTATATACCAATTGGTATAATTGATATTCCGTATCACGATTATTGGCTGCAGAATTATGGACGTTTGTATCGGGTGCGTCATAATGAATGAGCCTCGCAATATTTTCTATTTTTCTTGTGGTCCTTTAGCATCCTAAGATTAGTGTTTTTTTTAAACGATGCGCCACGGAATACTCTTCAAAACCATACCTAAACTTTAATTTTAGAACTTTAATCAACAAACTATACGGAAGGCGCAAAAAGTAAAAGCTTTGTAAACTCAAAAGGATTTCCTGTGTTAACGTTTTGAAAGTAAGAAAACTTGAATCAGGCAGTATGTAGCCCTGACTTTGCTCTATCTTTTAGTTACATTTTACATCAAAACCCAGAGAGAAATAATAATTTTTCTGTCGGTTGTTACGCGCAAAAATCTTTTCATGATTTTTAAATTGTGACTTACATGTATTAACTGTTTTCGCACGAGTGACACTTATATTACCTTATTGCGTAAACTACGAAATTTGTCGAGCAAAGACAAGAGAAGCATGACTCCTGCGGGCCAAAGTCAACCTATGCAAAGCTTCATCACATTTACGTATTAGAAATTGCATACATTTCTGTTTTATCTTTTTCGTACTATCTATAACCCTTAAAGTTGAAAATTATGAATAAACATTGTGAACCTACTCGGAGGCAATCAAGCGAAAACCTTTAAAACATCATCACTAGTTTAAGAATTTATTTTTATATAGGAGAGTTTCTTATATCGAAAACTATTGATGTTCTTCTCCTAGATTCGATCTTCCAACCCTCATACTATGTATTTCTCCAACTTTGCATTTTCCTTTTGCACTAAATGGTGCAAAAGGAAGATACAAGTTATGATTATACATTCGTATGACGGCTGTACACTTATGTATATATTTAAATAGTCTTCACACGTGATCACTCACATGTTACTAGCTATGCTATACATAAGTGTCGATCTTGTTTAACGTCGACACAACGTGTACGACGTATCCTTTACTAGCAACTGCTAGTGATAAGGATACAAAGATGGTATTATAACTCGCTATTATAACCGCTGTACGCCAGTTATAATACCATCTTTGTATCCTTATCACTAGCAGTTGCTAGTAAAGCTAGGAGAAGAACATCAATAGTTTTCGACATCACTAGTTTAGTTACAGGGTTGGCAAAAATGTTTTTTTCAGGGGGATAGAGCTCAAATTAGAAATGATATAAAAACGAATTATAGAACAAAATAATGCTCATCTAAAATGGGATTGATGAGTATAATTGATATTCCGTATGACGATTATTGGCTGCAGAATTATGGACGTTTGTATCGGGTGCGTCATAATGAATGAGTCTCGCAATATTTTCTATTTTTCTTGTGGTCCTTTAGCATTCTAAGATTAGTTTTTGTTTTACGTGATCTGCAAAAATGTTTTTAGAACAGATTGGGTGCTGGAGAATGAAATTTCAAAAATACGTCAGACCTTATTAATAATGTAATCTAGGCTATTACATTTATTATTATATATAGATTTATTCCGTACTCATTTGTACACTCTTTTCACGTAGAAGGCCTATGCTTAGAGCGCTCTAATAATCTTTCTTCTCTTGATAAAATCTAAATCTAAAATAGAATAGAAAATTCTCGCCCAATATACTTATTATCTGATGGTAGAAAACTTTTAAACGCATTATTTATTAGAAATAAGTGGAACATCATAGCAAACAGAACTTTTTTGATAAGGTCCAATTCGGCTTGTGGTCACATTTTTCGACGACTGATACTATTACGCTGCTAATACATTCTATTTTTGAGACACTAGACAGAAAAGGTACCTATTCATTCTGCTGGCGCAGCGTTCGATTTTACTTCAAATTCTTCTCACTAAACTTTCCAACGTGGGCGTTGATAAAAATCCTTACTGGTGATTTAAATCTTAGTTGTCTCAACGAACACAACAAGTAAAAATAAATAACTATTTTTCTAAAATAGCAACCGTTACATCAAGTGTGCCCCAGTATCCTCAGGCCTCTCCTGTTTTTAGTATTTATTAAAAAACAAATGAAAAAGGTAGTAACAAAATGCAGTCTTGATTTTCCTGGCAAGTACTTGGTTTACTTGCAAAAAAAGCGCAAGAACGTTGGACAAAACTTGCGTGAGTACTAGGCCATGTACTTGCATGCAAGCACATTCACTAGGGAAACTACTAATTGCTGAAGTAGAATGTGTGCTGTTTAAGTTAAGCGCGACCCCCACCCAGCGGCAAAAACCTATCTCTATAGAGATCTGTTTAAAGAGTCGAACAAGATAGTTTATTGATATATTACGCGTTTTGCACTCGCGTGATATTTGTCATATCCAGCTTTAATTGCTTCTCCATGTGCCATTGACACATGACGTGTCTGATTTATATACAGCGCTTCGTCCGTAAAAGGCAGCCACAAGTTCTTTGGGCTGTGCTGGACACCATACCTGAATTCCACTATATTTACATGGATTTAATGGAAAAGTCCAATTTCTCGCATAGACTTTCCAATCGTAGTTTCCATCATATTCACTGAGAATTGATGATGTGTTTGTCGAATTTTCTGATTGACCAGGATGATAATTATAAACGGGCCAAATATCAACATAAACGGCTGTCTTTTGATGAATGAATCGTGCATTGGGTGAGATGAAATTAACACCTTGCGATCGAAAATACGATCGAGTAAACCATCCGACAATGTGCCACTGGGGATGTACGATAAGTTTGTATATGTTCGAATCCAACGATGTCAAATTCGAATTGATCAAAGAAGCAAGTGCCACTAGTTGAGATGTGTCTTGTTCCATCATCGACACATCTACATCATGATCATGTGGTAATAGGCCACCTCGTTGAACATAGCCAATGAGAGTTCCATAAGATATCCAGTATTGCAGATTGTGCTTGCGAGCAAGAAGAGCCCATGTTTTGAGAGCGGTAAGAAGAGCACGTTGAGCAGCACGATCGTGTGCGGCACATGTTGGTATGTTTCTGAGAGCTTGTTCTACGCTAAAATTTTCGTTGAATATTTGTACTGTAGAAGGAGAAAAATGTGGAAAATAGTTATGGAGAACAACGCCAAAGCTGAGCAAGAAGAACAAAGTGCAGACACTTAAGAAAAATCTAAGTTGACCCATTCTGTTTACAGAGAATATATGATGTTAATGGTGAAAAGACTGATGCTACATACTACTGCAATAGAAAAACTGAGAAAAAGCAGAGAAAAGAAAAAATGATCGAGTGTTGTGTATTGAAGAGGTCTTGCAAAAAAAACTATCAATAAGTATGTATATAAAATGTATGTATATAAACTTACATAAAAGGTGACAGCTGTGTGGTGTGTGTTGCTACTGCAAACGTGTAAGGGACAAAAGTGAATCAGACAGAAGTAGAGAATCTTCCTGTATCAGCAATATAGTTCACGACTAACTCGACAATGATTCCATACACAATTATTTAGTGAATAACAGATTATTCAATGGTTCGTTCAAATATACACAGTCATAAAAGTAATAGATACATACATGATAGTTTATTGATATATAATTATTACCTTTTTCAAAAAACCACAGGAATGAGCAAAATGCTGATAATTTTTGATAGGAGACAGCTAGAGACCTGCGGTTTTCGCCATTCGAAAGAGGACAGTGGGACACGTAAACCTATGAAAAAACAGAGCATCTGATTACGTTTACCATGGTGCTCCATTCGAGACAAAATCCGAAAGCTTGCCGTTCCCAAACCACACTATGGCATCCAATCTCAAATAATACCAGTCGATAGCCAAAACATTTCTCTTCAAAGCTACGTAAGGCCTTGGTCTCTATCTCTTTTGATTCCGGAGATACAGACGTTTTCCGAGTGCATACCTATCTCATTGCAGACACGTCTGGGAATCTCAGAAACATGTGGTTC